GGTGGCAGGAGACTTTCCCCACTGAGTCCTTTCACTGGCCCACGCATCTTGTCTGAGTAGTCTTACATCTGCCTCTCTGGGATTCTCACCATGCCCTTACTCCTTCCCGAGAAGACAACACACATACCACACACACACACACACACACACACACACATACACACACACATCTCTCTCTCTCTCTCTCTCTCTCTCTCTCTCTCTCTCTCCACATTTCCATCCATTTATTTATTTAACAAATCAACTGTAGACACTGTTCTTCAAGGCTTGTATTAGTCGAGCCTCTAAATACACAAAGAGCCATAGCATCTCCTTCCTCTCCAGTTAAGATGGAGGCTCGCCACCCCAGGCATGTCAATCATCTTTGCCATGGTTTCTAGATTCTTCTTGACTACCTCTTGAGCAATAAACCCCACTTTCCTTCCTTCTCCTTTTCTGTTGCCTTTTTGTTGTTGTTGTTTTGTTTTGTTTTTGTTACTCTGTACAGCTCTGACTGTCCTGGAACTTGTTCGGTAGATCAGGCTGGTCTTGAACTCAGATCCTCCTGCCTTTACCTCCCAGGAGCTGGGGTTAAAGGCATGTGCTACCACACCTGGCCCAAACCCCCACTTTTCAATCGCCTTACTTAAGAGACAAAAATTGACCATGGTTCTTCAAGGCCTGAACAGCTCAGCTCGTAACAGAATCCTGTTCTGAGCCTAGACACCTTCATTCCAGGGATAAAAACCAACATTTAAGTTTACAGTGTACTGAATTTGTTCCCAATTAAAAACTGTTGTTTTCTGGTTTTCCCACAGAACCATTGCCAAGCCCAGTCTTTCCCAGCTAATGCTGGTGAAACTGATTTTTAAAATATCCAGCAGATGTGCCACGCAGCTGTCCTGTTCTGTGAAATTTCTACCAAGGAATGGGCATGCCCATCACACACGTTATGTACACCAGGCTTTTCCACTGTGCCACCCAGTGAACCAGTGCCCTCCCCGCTCCATGCCTCCTAGGAGCCGTCTCCAAGCAACACACACTTCACTCTGCTTTTCTAATCCAGAGCAGACTGTTGTTTTTTGAGACAGGGTATCATATAGCCCAGGCGGGCCTGGAACTCACTAGGAGCTGAAAACGACCTTGCACTCCTGACCCTTCCATCTCCCAAGTGTGGGGACAATAGGGTTTGCCACCACAGCCCATCGGCAGACTTCACCTGAGGAGGGTGTTGGCCTTGAGGGTCCGCACTGCTTGAAAATCTGGTGAAGGTACTCCCAGTAGACTTGCCTACAGGACTCTGAAGTTACCTGGCTGGGTTAGGGTTCCACTGAGCTGTACTGACGCAACAGTGAGGCTTCAAGCACTCACACACACACACACACACAGTGAGAAGAAAATTCATCCTGTTTCTTTTGCAAAGAACTATTCTTTCTGCTATTGGTCTATACTCGAACTATGGTTTCCTTCAAATCTTCTCCTTAGACTGATGTCCCTAGGATTGAGTTATGAGAGCGAGTAACCAATGATTACTCGCTCTCATAACTGTGAGGGGAAAAAAAGCAAACAAACCAAAAAACAAAAACAAACAAACAAACAAAAAAACCCTCATCTTAAATTCTAGAATATTCTTGCAACTGGGCTTAATAAAATGAACACAATACAGCTTGTATGAGTCTCTTTCATTGGGGGTCATTTCTTACTGACTAGCACCATGAGCTCACTGCTGGCCACAGGGTATCACCAGGCTAGACGTAGGCTAACGGGTAGAGGGACTATGCCTGCGGACAGAGGGGAAGTAGCATTCGCCTTCAGAGGACGGCAGCCGGCAGCCAGCCAGGGTGAAGAAGGGCTGCTGTAGTCAGGGTTTCCATTTATACTTCTCAAAGAAAAGAGAAACCTGGGTTTGTGTAGGAAATCTATCAAATTTTAAATGCTTGCTGAAAAAAAAAAAAACGCATATTTTTCAACTATTCTTTACAAAACAAAGCATGTTAAGGGTAAAGTACCGTTCTTTGCTCCTTCCAACAGACAGGATATGGGGACCTGGGTACCACATAGCACTAGGAACTAGTCCACAGCAATTGTTCAGTATTTGTGAATGAACCAATAAAAGGATGCTCTTCTGAATTTTGGGAAACCTGTGGCTGAATGTGGTGGTTCACACCTGTAACTGCTACACTTATGGAGCTGAGGAAGGATCAATGGGCATTCTTGGCCAACCTGGGCTACATAGTTCCAGGCCAGCCTGAGCTACAGAATGAAATTCTGGAAAGAGACAGACAGACAGACACAGATACAGACACAGACACACACACAGAGAGAGCTAGCTTTAAATGTAAAGTGGGCACGCTTAGTAACCTCTGACTCTGGTTTGGGTTATGCACACCCCTTTCTCCTAATGATGCACGTGGCAGCCTAGCTCCTTTACCTGCTCGTACTATGTAAACACACCCCTCTTCAGACAATGTACCCAGCTATCTTGGGTGCCCCACACACGCACACCTGTGTCAGCCTACATGCACACCCTTCTCTGGGCAATAGATGCTTCTCTTCCTCAAACAGCCAACAAACTAAGACAGCTTCTAGCCAAGTATATTCTCTATTCTCAGTGCATCTAGGTGTGAGAAATGGAGAGACTGATCCAGCCTGAGCTGGTTTTGGATGCATACACAATAAGGTA